AGGCATTGTTAAACAAGTCGTAGAAGTGTTCTACCTGGTCTGCTGGGTGGTTCGACGTGGGCGCGTACACTTGGATGATCGTCAGAGTATAGTTTTTTGCTATAGTAAATTTTAGAACTGCTATCGTTTCTGAATAAGATATGAAATCTAATATGTATATAGTAAGTATCTTTACATTTTTTCTTAACTAAAAATCTTACACCATACAAACCGCCCGTTTCTCCCTAGTAATAAAGGATATCGTTTTCCCATTCAATGGTTTCTTCTCCTTTTCTCCTAATCTCGCTAAGTCCGATTATATCCCACATGGTCTTTTTTTTGGAGAACTAAATTAATAACTTCAATTCGTCGTTATTCAACAACCGCTAGATGGCAGTACATTTTGAACTGCCTTTTTAACTGTCTCTGTAGCCGAACGGTTACCATGACTGCCACGCAGAGGATCAAGTTCGATTCCCGGGCCGGGAGAAATATTTGTATGGTCGACATTTATTTATCTCGTGAGTTTGTTTGTGATTTGTGGTTGTATATGTGTGTGTCCATGGTACCCGCGACACAGTGTTTCCCTAGTGCGGGGCTATGTTGAGTGTGTGCGTTATGTTGAGTGTGTACATTGACTAAAATTTCAATATAATATCAAAACGTCGTAACTTGCAAGATTAGGTGTTGATGGTATTGAACTTTCAACGATATGCCAGTAGGGAAAAGTTTAAATTATATTAACAATCCAGAATTTGTTATTTCTTTTTAAATTTGAAGCTATGACCAATCAATGTTAAGATTTTGTAGTGTTTCAAATTAAGAATGTATGAGTTTTCACGACATCGTTTCTCATAGTAATCGAGGCTTAAGACACTTCCATTGTTTTTTTTCTTCCGTGTGGGAAACCCTGTGCCGCGAATGCCATGGACACATACATAGATAACCACAAATTACACCCAAACTCACGAGAGAAATAAATGTAGATCATACAAATATTTCTCCCGGCCCGGGAATCGAACCTGGGACCTCTGAGTGACAGTCATGGTAACCGTTCGACGACAGAAGCAGTTAATAAATGCAAAATGTATATTTTGTCAATTATTCTGCCCTCAGAAAGAAAAAAAGGCACAACTGCTGTATAAAGTATGCATAGTTGTGCTAGTTTTTGTTACGAAGGCAGTGTGATAAGATGGAAAGCGTTTCCGTAAAAAAAAAGAATTTTTTTGGCTGTTATACGAATGAGTTTACATTTGTGTAATATCGCTAAAAAGTTGGGGATCGCTAAAAAGATTGAATTGTGATACTAACGTTCCTAATATGAACCAGTGGCCAAATATCAGAACGTTTGATCGAAATCAAAAGACGATTGTCAAATCACTCTTTTTACAAATAAAAAATGTGACCAGTGCTTCATGTGAACATTGTTATCATAATTATAACTATTTTTTTTAGAGCTCCTCCAAATATGTCAATGAGTGTGTTTCGCTCTTGACATTAGAATCAGATACTATGATATACCTATGATTGTTTTCAAATACATATTTAAGTTTTTTTAGTTATGTGTTTACACTTTTGCATGTCTCTGTTCTCGTACATACATTGTTGCATAGTTATAAGGATAAACAATTTGTGCATTATACTAGTTATCACTGTTATCAATCTGTTCTTTGTAATAAATTAATTAAATAGTAAATGGACATCTGCGAACTATGATAGTGGGTTCACGATAATGATTTATTGAAATGTCTAATTATTCAGATAGTCTCTGACATTTTGCTCTATATTCTGTATGAGTTATAATTTATTACAATAATAATAATAACGCACACACTCAACATAGCCCCGCACTAGGGAAATCCTGTGTCGCGGGTGCTATGGACACATACATAGACAAACACAAATTACACCCAAACTCACGAGAGAAGTAAATGTAGGCCATACAAATATTTCTCCCGGCCCGGGAATCGAACCTGGGACCTCTGCGTGGCAGTCCGGCATGGTAACCGTTCGGCCACGGAGGCGGTCGATATTATTTCTGTGCTTAGAAGGAAGTATATTTCTGCGTAATTCTGTACTCCAATAGATAAGCAATCTCTTTGTTTATTTGATAAATTGTGTTATTCTTAACTTCAAACTCTGCAGTTTGGCTTTACGGATCACAACTCTACTACCGCTACAAGAAAAATACTTAAGTATAGGTTTTTACTCAGTATTATAATAACGTTATGCGAAGGATATGTTGCGCCAAATATTTTTTTGACATTATGAATAAAAATACAAATCATAACGTGCTAATAGAAATACATTACATATGGTAATGGTGGTATGTTGTCGATGCTGTGACTGACGTTTGTTATCCTAAACGAATTTCACAGACATAAAGAAAATATTCCACTTCCTGTCGAAATAATTGGTCACTGAGGTTGATTTTGAGTGAATGGTATCCAGATACGATAAATTAGCACGTATTATGTTGCATAATAAACTATTACGCTGTAATAATTGTGTGGCATGCAGTTGGAATTTCAATGCGAGGGTTCGGAGATATAACATTAAAGATTTTTGGCCTATTTTAAATATTTGGGTGTTACTAAGTCACGGATTAAGCAATTCAAACTGCCAATTATTTTTACAACAAATAAATTAATAATATTTTTAAACAATGAATATTTTGACACATCGCTTAATTTTAGGTGATCATGTAAACTGGCCTTGTTTCCATCTGGCCTATCAAATAGGTACAATGATTTCAATTATTCCTCAAGCAATTTTAAGTATCGAATTTTTAGGTTTTCGCACTTGTTACATGTTGTTATATATTTTTTAAACTGAGTCCCATGATTACAATACAATATGTGGTCACCACCAAGGAGAGGTTTTAGAGCATTTCAATGCGGAGAAATGGTAATAAGATTCCGTTCAACATATTACGAAATTAATTTTTGATTGACCATTTAATATTATTTTTAAAATTTTGCTACCTATTTTATTATTGCTATGTTTTAATGGTTACCATTAATTATAGGTTTTTAGGAGTAAACGTTCCGAAATATCGAAAAAATAAAAAGAAATCCTACCTTTATGTCAAAGGTATGCAAATTGCACTTGAAATCGTCATAATGATAAAACTCTAATGCTCATTCGTAAGATGAGAAAATTGCGCAATAAACTCTAGAAGTTAGTGTTAATCATATAGTGAATAACCACGAAATAATTAAAATGTATATCATCAATTTGAGGCTTTTGTCGGTACTCCCTCCTCCACTCCTTACGGTTCATTTCCAATTCCTTGACCACTTTATAGGTCCCATTTTGATTGTCTTCTTTATTTGTTCACTATACGCATATTTTTGTCTTTCTCTCTTTCTTAACCTTTCTGTCTTTCTTTATCTTATTATCTGAGGGCAATTATCACTCTCATATCCTCATTACATAGCAAATGCTAAAGATTTTCTCCCTTTTGTTCTTTATTGTATTCAAAAGATTTCTTTCTTCCCTAACCCTTTTCAAAACTTTGTCATTTGATATCTTCTCAGTCCAATTTATTTTTTCAATTCGCTCTATCACCAAATGTATATATGTATAACTCATTATCAAGGTGTCGCTTAGCTACTTTTACCGATCAACCATCAATATTATTCAGAAGCACTAAGATAGCGCAGGTTCCCCGCTAGGTCCTGCTAGCTAACCATGGGACTGCTACATTGGATGTTTCGTTCTTCTAACTGAATGCGAAATACCTAAACAATACCCTTTTAGAAAGGTATGACGCCGGTAAACAGGTAAAAGTTAAATCTGCGACCTCGGGGTTTCGTCCGTTTAGATTGTAAGGATACTAAAGTCTAAGCACCTGCTTATTTGGAGCAACTCCGAAATTCCGCTGTGAAATAATTAGTAAAAGCTTAGATTAGTTTTGTGGTCTTTTGAAAGGGACGGTAAAGGTTTCTGTTTGTATATTTTAAATAGGTATTTAGATAGATATAGATAATGGTTAGGTTCAAATATTGTTGAAAGTTAGACATTTAATTTTAAGAATATCTAATTGTTAAATTTTATTTGTTTATTAATTAATAATCATAAATTACACTGTATCAAAGTAAGAAAGACCCTTTTACTAAGAGCTTCAGGGTAGCGAAATTAATACAGGCGAAATTACCCTGTCTGTCTGGGTGTTCAGACCAGAATTAATTTAGGAAAATTCGTTTCCCAAATTGTGTCCTACCGAGAATCCAATCCGAATTTTGTTCAATTGCTGAATAATTCTTATTTCGTATTAGATTTAGGTAGTATGATTTCCTATGCTGTGTTCTGTTAGTTAATAGTGTTTTAATCTCTTGAATCCGATAGTGAAACATTTTTAAAATGTTCTGTAGGCCATTGGAAAATTTTGTCGATAGCCTAAAGTAGCAAGTGCGATCTAAAGTTATAGTGCACGCCATACATAGGGGTCGAAAGTTGTTCGATCGATACGCAGTTTACTTATCCACGGACGCACTGGCCGGACACATCGCGTGCCACCTTTAATACAAAAATATCGATTTTTCCACAAAGCCGCGTCACCGCAATCAATATACCTTTCCGCCCCATGCCTAATTACGCCCGCCTACATTACTCAAATATTCCTAAAAAGACCGTAATCGGTACCATCATGGTACCTCCACGATTACAACCATGAAAAATAACGTACACTGAATCATTGAAAGAGCACAGGAAAACGCTTCATTGTAAACGTTTTATTTAATTTTCCCTCCATTTACTTTTTATAATTTCTGCCGGGCATAAAAAACGATCCGCCGCCGCAGGAAGCGCACATACACGTGAAACCAGCCATATCTGGACGCACACAGGGATACGAACACCTGTCTCGGGAACTAAAGGTGTGCTCGAGCGAGCGGGAGGGAGGCGTGTGTATTTGTAGGCTACAGGCAAGAGGGAGAGAGAGCATGCGCGCGCAGAACGCCGGCACGCCCGCCGCGCGTCCCGCTCACGCGCGAAACCGCCCGCGAGCCGTCAGTCTATCGCGCGCAGAGGCAGCGCTTGTATGTGCCGCCCTTTGCTTTGACGCGACCGACGCAGTGTCCGTAACCGGCGTTCGGAAAATTGTGCATGTGCGTTTTCCGACTAGAGGAGTGTGTGTGATTGTGAGATGTGCTATTGTTTTCTAGGTAACTTATACCTTTGTCAAAAAGGCAGCCAGATACAATTTTTCATCGATACACTTGTTGGCACTTATTTTAATTTCCCTCTTATTAGATTTCCCACGGAGGCAGTGTAGCAAAAACTGTTTGGTGATACCATCGCTCACTTTTCTACAAGAGTGAATTTATGCACCTACACCGGCTGGTGCTATTCCAGCAAAGTTTCATTAAGCGCGCAACTCTTATTAGAGCGTGCGAATTTATGACTCGTTAATTGTTTGCGTTGCTTTAGATAAGGTTAACTAACTGTGAATGATCCTGAACGTGACTACAACGAATGATGTTATATTCACTAATAAAATTAATAAAAATATTGATAAAGCTTTTGAAGTTTCCAATAAAGTTTGAAAAGTTTGAGATAACAGAAATGTCGATACGGATAAGGGAACTTATCCATTAGGAATAAAGGAATTCAACAATCAACAACTAAAGGCATGGAAATGCAAGTACCTATCCAAATTCACCATCATTTGGAAAGTAACATTTTCTGAATGCCTGTGTTTAGAAAACACAAACCGAAATGAGAAACCCGCGAAGTCATGTCATTCACGTGGTACACAAAAGAGAGGAACGTAACAATGGCAACGTAGAAATTACGCCAAGTATCGACACAGTAGAGCACTTTCTGAAACCATCACACATTGTGCTCGAACATAACAATGAGAAATTTAATAGATCCATGAGTTGCTATTGCTATTTAAATCCACCAAATGTGGAATCCCGTTGAATGTAACGAGAATGTGATTATAATTTCAATTCAAAATTAGATACCGAGGAAGCAACAAAATTTCAATAAAATGCTTATCAATAATGATTTCGTTAGGCGCCTTCGAATTAAAGTGCCAAATGACTTAAAAATACGACTGATACGCATAAAAAATGCGTTTAAGAAAATAAAAACAAAATATAAAACTTCATGCGAGACGACATAGCAAAATGTAAACATGCAACTATTGATGTAATATGTAAAATTTTAATTTGGTTTTTAGACTGTACCAGCAATTTTCTTAACTCACAAATTTAACACGCCCTGAAGACAAAAATAGTTAATTTACATTTCAAACGAGATCATTAAAGGCCGTCTGAAAGTCGTATACATGACCAAGATTTGCGGCATCTTTGCTACAAAAAGGCACCTTGTCGTCGAAATCCCTATTTTCAAGTTTATAAAGAGTGATATGTCGTTTACGAAAGTAACTTGTTTTCTAAGTTATGTTAAAGCAGTAATTGGTACGTTTCATTCATTAGCTAAGCAAATTTCGAAATGGGTTCGCCATCGAGCTAGACGTAAGAGGATATTGCCGGCACTCATTCGTAATGACAGATCTTATTACCTACAACCATAGATTCTATTACAACACGTTCATAAAATAACGTGCAATTTGACAGAAGAGGTACGAATCCACGAATGTTATATCAGTCAAAGAAAACAGTCTTGGTTATTTGAAGAACATGATGTGTATGGTTGTAATTTTTCACGGTTGGTGGTTGCGCAAATGGCCACTGCGACGGACAGATGGCTAAGCGGACAACGTATTTTACTTAACGTGTTTACGTGCAGTCGTACACCTTTTGTAGGCTTGCTGTTCGATGGGTGGACTACGAGTAATAATTATTTGGGAGGTGCCGCTGATCTACTTAAATAACAACAGCAAAACTGAGTCTAGTAAAATTGTGCGACTTAGGAGACCATAATAATTTCGTTGAATACGTCATTGTGGAAGGTAATTCTAATGATATATCTTGACCCTAGAATTGGATTGCCCTGCCTAATTGATCCCAATGAACGGGAATGACCTCAGGAACGAGTATGACCATTAGACGTGCTGTCGAAAGAAATGGGAGGTTAATCGAATTAACGTAGAGGGAACAGTGGAATTCTAAGCCAGCACTAGCGTGGTCGGTCGAATTATAGAAATGGGCATTAGAACGGATAGTGCCTCGGGCTAATGTGAGAATTTTCGACTACAGACATGCACACATGTATAAACAAACCATATATGTGTAAAAAGGAACAGTCCAGAAAACTATTAAGAAAGATTGAATAACTATTTTTTACATTATGGATTACCTCTAGACTATGAGAAACAATAACAACGCGAATAGAAAACTTACATCACTCACGATATCGCTAGGCGATGGTTTACGAAAAATTATAATAGCGCATTAATGTTATCACATATCACAGTACAAAATATACACGGAACACTGCATTTTATTGCTTGTATATCGAGAATAAACCTCTGCATTATAAAACAATACTATTGTTTCTTTCAATTAAGATAGCAAGTCTTTTTATTTTTCACTCTTCGTAGAGTGGATTAAAGTCGATGGTAAAAATTATAAGCAATACTCTTCCTCCGCTTGAATAGCCGGTAGCTATTGCACTATCGATAACGGTTCTTGTTAATTGCACAGTGAATAGTGAGAACTGTTTTTTTTTCAAGCGTGACTTTTTTCTCCCATTAGGATTCAAAGTAATCTGTTCAAAATAATTCATCATCATTTTTTATTGAAACTTTTTGCCATGCGCCTTCAGTTCTGTTTCGCATCTATGTCTAATATTAGTGTGCTTTTTATTGTCAATGTGTCTGGAAGTACTTCGTTGCCGTAATTACTAAGGCGAGTCCGTTTCGAATAGTCGCTTGTACAAGGCCTGCTATTGTGCCGAATTCATTGCGTCACGACATTACCAGTTCACGATCGAGAGCCTCTAATAGCTGCTTGTTAAATTAATCACTCTTAGTTAGATACAGATCTATTCTATGTTTTCGATATCAACGTCCTTGGAAGTTGGATTTGTTTGTACGAAAAAAGTAGAAAATGTTACTAATGGTCCAAAAAAAATAATTGTAAGCAGATAAAATTAGAAATGGTTCTATGGCTTAAATGCAAACCGCGCTGTACTGTAACAGCATGCAGTAACAACGCTAAGTGGGAAATTATTTATTCAGCAAAAGTATGCATGAGGTAGGAAAGGTCAAAAGTTACGCCGAGCCTGGTTATTTAAAACAGTTTTATGCTTTATTTAACAAATTAAAGGAAACAATTAGATTAATGTAGTCCAAAAATCATGACTTCATTCTATGTAAAAAGGATATGGAAAAGCGTGGAATTTGTACAGGTATTGTACTGACACGGATGTTCGCCGACTAGCAATTTGTTTTGTGTTCCGGAAAGCGATCGGATGGCATTGATTTGCAATAAAAAAATATTGCTTTGTCATGCTCTTCGCGGCTTAGGCCCTTTCACAACACGCGGCAATGAATCGCAATGCGCACATGCCTGGAAAAAAAGGAAAATAACCGAAAATCCTAAAAAAAAAACACATTTTTGTCTCGTAATTTATAACTGGACATTACGTGTAGTTGTAACTTATGTTACAGACATTGTAATTTTGCTATATTAAACTGAATGAAAAGATGAATCAAACAAACACAATGTACGTACCATAAAAGTTTGCACTCGTTAACACTGAAACATGTAGGTCGGCAAAATAATAAAATTGACACATTTTTCATGTCGCCGAATATTAAACATTTTTGCGCGCCCGTTCAATATAAAAATGCTAAATAAAGTTACCCTGAAAAATTGGAGCGTCGGTCAGCAACTGTAATTCCGTTTTTACGGTAAATGTAAATATTTGCCGCAATAAAATCTATTTGGGTGATTAATTAAATGAAACATGACGTGCTTCCTTTGAGAGCAACCTACTGCCCGTTTTGTACGGCTGAAAAAAGTAAACTTTTTCATTTGCGGATTTGATGGCTTAAAGTGTTTATATTCGTTTTTGATTATACTTGATCTTCCGTGGTACCTCAACCTACGTGCATATAATAAAGAAGTTACATTACAAGCAATTGAGTAAAGCTTTTAAAAAATTAACGTATCAACTTTTCGATTTTTTTAAATATTTGAAGTAATAATGAAAGGCAAACATCAATAAACAGTTCATTTCAAACTTTATTGATATCATATCCATTGTAATCAATTGAACTACCTACGTCTTCTTATTATGAACTAACAAACAATAACTACGTGCCTAGTCATGACGGATTACACAAGAGCTGATGTCACAGCGAGAGACGCGAAAATTTCGTTCCATAAACAGGTGGCTGTGGGTGTCCTCATCCTAAGTGAGTAAATAGGCGCAATTTAGGACATGCCTCGCGGTCCGACTGATTCAACACTTCGTTCAGGCAATTAGATTCAATTTGCGGGCGCTCACTATGAATACGGGTTCAAACAAAGCCTAGTTTCTTTCGAAATTAGCTCGAATGTGTACTCATTTACGTTTAATTAGATACATTGAAGGAAAGTTTGCTTGAGTTTCTACTTTCACACGAATGATTTTACATTAATTTTGAAATGAAATTCGGTAAGTAGATTTCGCCCGTGTTGTATATTTTGCTGGATACTGTGTATTTCAGTCGAAATTTCATTACGCGAATGGCTCCATTGGCCGGCAGACTGACGTAGTTAATTGAATGGGTTTGTTTGTTGGGCATATTTATGGAATACCCACTGTCTACTACAATACTTTTGAGTCAGCTTATAAGGCAATTATTTGGTGAAAAAGATGCGAAACAAAAAGTTCATCTTCGTCCTAAGTTCTTTCAGCATCCAAATTTTCTAATTCCAAAAAGAGTCCATAATCTGTCACGGGTTCAAAGAAATGCGTTTTGTTAATGCAAATTGTTTAATCCTAAATTAAAAAGATACAATATGTACTTACCAAATTATTACAATCCTCCCGGCTACGTGGCTAAATTATTATTATTATTTTTATTTATTTTTATTTTATTTATTGGTTCACCAACAACTGTTACATTTATACTTATTGTTAGGTACATTCTGTTTTGGGTTTAAGCTTAATGCACAGCTACTTAAAGGTAAACACCACATGCATAGAAAAGTGTCTTTAACAATTCGACTTATTATATTTATCTATTATTTAATGCTCGACA